GAGAAGCCAAACTCATGAGGGAGAACTAGGGTACCATAGACCAGTACAAGGTTCATGGGGATCCCACTCTCTAGCTTCCCATGGCCATTGATTCCCCCAGGTGGGTTCCCCCACATACATAGCAACAAGAGATCTTCGGAGTCTGGGCTACTGCTAGGACTATGGTGAATAGCAGCACTAGAAGAGCAAATCCAATTAAGAGCAAGGCACGGCTGTGCAGTGCAGATCATCATGAGAGTATTCAGTGCATCTGTGTCACCACTCAGCAGCATCCTCAGGCTTCTGCCATGGTTAGATTAGCCAGCCTCTGAGTGACTAGAGCAGGGCTGCTGTCCTTTAGTGGTTGCTGAGGGCTCGGTCTGCTTCTTCTGGATTGCCATCTTACGCAGTGCTGACAAGTGAAAGACACATTCCAAGTCTCAAGATGCTGTCTCTATTCTGCTGCAAAGAATCCAAGGGATTGTCTCATCTACATTTACTGCTGCGGGGCTGGGTAGGATTATAGTGATGGGAGGAGTTTCAGGAGCTGCATGTGCCCCTGGGCTTGAAAGAGTGAGTGCCTTTGGCCAAACCCAGGGGCAATTGTTTTTTAACCCATTGGTGTAGCAAAAGCTAAAGCTGAGCCTAATCCTGCATCTGTTGTCTCACAATGAGGTGCCCAAGAGGGTCCTTTAAATCCCCCCTTAGGTCCTCAATAAGAGCAGGAGGAGGCTGCTCATAGAGAATTACAGAAGGGGAAACACTGAAGGGATGTCAGGCAGGGCAGCTATGGGAGAAAGGAAAAAAGAAGGAAAAAGGAAAAAGTGTGTGTGTGTGTGTGTGTGTGTGTGTGTGTGTGTGTGTGTAACTGCTATTACTTCACTGAAAAGAAAGGTTTATATATGTATTGTTTGATCAATTGTTCATGCCTCTGTCTTGTAATATGGATAACTTTTTTTTTTTTTTTTTGTATTTTCAGGGTCTACAGGGTGTTCAAGTTCTCACTACTAGATTGGACTCATAGTGATCTGCCTGGTTACAGCCTCCCAAGCACTGGGATTACAGGTACACACCACCACACCATCTCAATTGTCATCTCAGCATGCCTCAGGGGTGGAACCAGCACAGCAGGCCTGGTGATTGAATCCCTGGCCCCTGCACCTGCTTGCAGGTGCCTTAATCCACTGAGCTATTTGGTCAGCCCTTCAACAACTACTTTGAAGATCACAATATGCAATACATTAATCACTGTTATTCTCCTACAATCTTGTTTTGAAATTCTATACTACTGTTTTTATCATTTATTTTCTTTTCTTTTAAAATAGCAAAAGAAAAGGGAAATAGTAGAAGATGAGAAGAAAAATAAATAGGCATGAAGCCTGAGGTGTCATTGACACGAGGTGTCCCCGACTCCAAGGCTGCAGGTGCTCCTGGCAAGTGTGACAGCTGAAACCCTGGTGCACAGAGTGTGGGAGGGCAGCTAGGGTGAAATAGATTTTAAAATGAAGGTGATCCTGTTTATGCCTTTGATGAAAGAGCCAGAGCCACAGTTTGTCCCCTTCCCCAGCCCTCCATATCTTTGAACTCTTTTTCTTCAAACTCTGTAAGCAGAAGCTCATTCTCTCTGTTGTATTCCATCATCAGCACATACTATCCGGATAAGCTGAAGGAATAGGTTTGGTAAGGACAGTGTCTAGGAACAAATAAACAAACTTTAAAGGATCTAGGACTGAAGCATGAGCACTGGAATGGAAAGGACAACTGTAATTGGCTGGCTCTTAGGTCTGTCTCCCAGTGTGGTCAGAAGTCACCAGAAGGGGTCAGCAATTAGGGTGCCTTGTTTATGTCTAGTCTACATTACTATCACTTTTATATCCTTGGTTATACTTTTCTGTTGGGTGTTTAAGACCAACTTAAAGTGAAAATAGTATTAACCAAAATGAACTGTTTTTAACCAAATATGAAGATCAGTTAAGTTTCTCAAGTGTTATTTGTGTGGCCCATGTAAAGCTCCTCAGCTCTTCTGTTAGAATTAGCTGCTAGGTTGGGTCACTGTCTTGCTTGACCATGTAGTTTCCTGTGGAAGCATAGAAGGCATTTCTCTCTTTAGTGACTCTACTTTTTTGTACTCCGTACTTCAGTCAATTCCTGTTGTTTGGAGTCTAACAATCTCCCTGTTCAGGAAGTTGGTTGACTTACCAGAATTGTAGGCTCTTGTAGGATAGGTCTTCTTGTGTCTTGGGTCTTTGTTGATCTTAGAGGGCTAGGACCAAATTATTGGCTCGCCCATTAGCCCATGTTAATGTCTAGATGTCCCCCCAGTGCCTCATGCAGTCTTGGGGTAGGCTTCTAGAGTTTGTGATTGAGTCATAGTCAAATTCTGGGATTATGGATGTGAGTCCTACACCTCCCCGGGGCAGGTCACCTGCGTACAATATAAGGGAGAGAATGAGGCTTCTCCTTTGCTCTTCCCTTTTTGCTCTTGTTGCTTTTGCTGTGTTCCACCACCATAAACCATTGCCCTCTGCTATGTGCCACTCTGCCTTGAAGCCAGCCAAGTTTGGACTGAAACTTCCACAACTGTGAGCAAAATAAACCTTTCCTTCTTTAATTCTGGGTGCCAGGTATATTATCTCAGCAACCAAGTCATCCCAGTTACATTTTTAACTTTGGTCCCTTCAATTCAGCTGTTGAACATGCAGGAGATCCGGTAAACCAGTACTGGTTTAATTTTATGATCTTACCCTGATATCAAGCACCTTGAAATTTATAGCATAGCCGGAGAACTGTGATTTCCTAGCAAGCATGGTTGTCTTATCAGTTGTATCCTTGTTAAAAATTAACAGACAGCAGTTCTATAAGGTTTTACAGAGACAACGTGAGATCATAGGCAAAATACCACATTATCACAATAATCACAATGACATCATTATATTATAATCATTAGGTCTTTGTTTTTATCTCTGAAACATACTTAAATTTTGATCAATATAAAATTACTTTTTAGTTTGTTTTATTTACCAACTTGCAAGATAGTAAATGACGTACAGAAACTTTTACCAAATTTGTTAACTTTTAACCACTTTTTGTTCGTAAAGTGATATTTAACTAAAATGTGCTCGCTTTTCTATAAATATACTTTATAGGTCATTAAGATTATTAATGCCTTATGTCCAATCATTATAATGATATTGTCATAACTGTATAAGTTATAGGTACATCAAACTATCATAACACAATTATATAACCTTCACATAACCATGAACTTGAAAAGATCTTTCATCATGAATAACGGTACTTTTGGCATCACCATTATGAGATGACATCTTTCTCAAGTCCTGCATCTTAAAAAGGCCATCTGCTAGGGGAAAGCATAAAGTTATTTAAGAGACCATGAGGTTAGTAACAATCAACATCACAATTATACAAAAATCTTTACATATATTTACTTAGTTTTTACTGTTAAGCCAAAATTTAGATTTTTAACAGGTTTTGGACAGAATTTGTGCCAATTCTGTATTGCCAAGAACAAAATGACACCTTACAACTCTTATAAGTATAGGAAACAGTATTGACGTCTGCATATAGATTTATTACCAGTACAAGTGTATCTCAGTGTATCTCATGTATGTAATAAAAGAAGTTTAGTCAAAGCCAATAGTTGTAAATTTAACTAAGAGCATCTGAATCAGCCAAGCTCATTCCCTTTTTTGTGACCTTTGACTCTTACACTCCAGGTCTGACTCTTGCCACCCTCACCCCATGCCCAGCCTCCCTTCAGCTAGGAGCTTCCCGGCTCTTCCCGCTGTCTAAGCCCTGCAGGGTTGGCGCTCTTCTCTGATTCTTAGAGGATCCTGGCAAGGACCCAGCTCCAGTGGTGGACACAAGAGCTGCAGGAGTTCAATCAGAGAGGACTTCAGGAGCTCTCAGTAACTCCACTGTCCTGTTCAGGAAAGGAGGGTTTTGGAGAGGGTTACTTAAGCCATGAAAACTGCTCCAGGAACTGGTCCCAGATATTGGAGAAATTACCCTTCCTCTCTGTCCTCACCCATGCAATTTGTGCTTTCTAAACTCTGCCTTTAGCCACTCAGGGTATCTATAACTATATCTATAAATTACAAATTCCAGATTTCAAGACACTGGGTAACTTCAAGTTCTTCTTGTTCAGCCCACTGTCCACAGGCCATCCAGTCCATCCTCTGGCCCCAGCAGTCCTTCCAGTCTTAGAGTGGGGCAGACAGGAGGACCATTTGGCATTCTGGTCATCAGCCCTACTTCCCACACCTGCATCACCTCGGTCCTCCTCGAAGGTCTTCACAATGTCTGGCCCATCAGGCATTCAGTTATACCTTCAATCCAGGCTTGTAGAAAACAGCTTACTCTCACAGTGTTCCTTTCTTATCTCTTCCTCTTTCTGTTTTTAAATTTTCTATTTTCTATGAAACAAACTCTGTCCTCGTTCTACTAAGGGGAAACATTAGACAGTCTTTTTCCCTCCTTGTTTCTTTCTTTCCTTCACTCTTCCTCCCCCTTCATACGTGAAGAGGCAGCAGGAGCCGAGGCAGCATCTCCAGTGGCCCCACAGACGGGCAGGCAAAGGACACAAGCTTCTCATTGACACCCAGATTTCTCAACTGCCACCCTCATCCTAGGCTTGGCTTGGACATCCTTTCCCATCCTGAAGCTCTCTGGGGTCGTGACCCATCACGGGCACTCCCACATTTAGCCCTCAGCAAGCTGCAGGCTGAAGTGGCCATCCACTTCTCCCTGCCATCTTTTGACCTTGGCAGCTTCCCCTAGATCTAGCAATCAATGATTAGTGCCCTCCAAGATGTCATTCCCCTACCACAAACTGGGCACAGTGGTCTCCAACAACCTGACAGTTTCTCCATAAGATTCAGGTACTGGTCATTGAAAATGAGACTGGTATACAGGTAAGTGGTCCACAGGTCTGAGAGGATGGGTACAGAACACCACCATTATGAACTGTTCTTGTCTTGGCTCTGTTTTGACTTTGCAAGCAATGCTGAAAGAGTTCCACAGGATCCAGGATTCCTTTATGATTGCTTCTTGGTATTTTGACTAAGATCAAGTGCAGAATTCCTTTATGGATGACTGGAAGACACAACAGAGAAGAAGCATTTGCAAAAGCTTGGGGTGACAGGCCTCCTCTGCCCACTTTAGGTCATCTCCATATTCTGTTTAGAATTTCTAGGACTACTTACTTTTTCTGTTGTGTGGATAAAAAAGAAGTAAAGGAAGATAAAAAGGGCTGAGAAGATAGCTCTACAGTATAAGCGCCTGCCTGGCAAGCGCAAGGACCCAGGTTCGATCCCCGTTACCCCTACTGGCCCCAAAACTGACGCATGCCTATAATCCCAGCACTAGGGAGGCTGAGACAGGAGGATCACTATGTGTCTGAGCTGAGCAGTGAGACCCTGTACCAAATAAGCAAATAAATAATTTTTTAAAAAGAAGATAAAAAAAGCTAGAAGTAAAAAGAAGAGAAGTGAAGCAAGGAGAGGAGAAAAGAAGAGCAAGGGAGAGGAGCAGATGGCAAGAAAGGAATGAGGAGAAAGGAATTTTTTTTTTTTTTAAAGCAAGATACATAGAACACTTAAGATCTTCTGACTTTACCCACTAAAATAATGAATCTAAATTTAATTCCAAGCAAGAGCACCACAGCATCAAAACCTTTATTTGACAGACCAGTGAATACAAAGGCCACTCAAACGAGCAGCTAAAGAAGCCATCCTTGGCTATTACCCCGGGATTAGACCAGTGTCTCCAAGGTTTTGATCACTCATTACTGTCAGAAGATAAAAATGAGACAGACATTCTCACACATATAAACAGAAATTCCCACATGCATATGCATAAATGACATACATGCCCCATAATAATAATTACAAACATTACATATGTGCACTGTTAGTAAAATTCATTAGTATACAAATTAAAATTTGAATATTTGTACTAAGCAGTTTTCATGGTAGAGGCACAATGCCTGCCACACATTGCTTGAAAGAGGAAGGTTTGTTCCGGCTTACAGTTTCGGAGGTTTTAGCCTATACCTGGCTGCTCCAAGGCTGAAGCATCATGGGAGAAGGGCGTGGCCAGGGCGGAAGCTACTCAGCACCTGGCTCCCAGGAAGTTGACAGGCCAGTAAAGAGCCAGAGAAGAAGAGGCCAGGAGCAAGGTACAGTTCCTCAAAAGATATAATATATA